TTTTTTACTGTTGCCTTTTTGTTAAAAAAGGCAACAGTAAATAGATAGATAGATAGATAGATAGATAGATAGATAGATAGATAGATAGATAGATAGATAGATAGATAGATAGATAGATAGATAGGGTTTATATATATCCTTCCATTCCCCACCATCCAGTCAGGCAGCTGGTAATTTGCATCATTTTAGAGGGAATTTGGGCCATTACTTCCTCTAAAAAGATGCAAATGACCAGCTGCCTGCAAGGAATATACATCCTTCCATTCCCCACTATCCTGTCAGAGCTCCAGAAGCTTCTTGAATGAGAAGCAAAACGTCTTCAAAAGAAAAGAAAAAAAACAAGAAGGTCCAGTTGCCTCCTGAAAAAGCATCTTCCTCCCTTTTGTTTTCCAAAGGAAAACAGGTGCAGGAAGTAACCTGAGCTCTACTACCTCTAGTAACTTGAGATCCTTTACCTGTATATTTACAGCATCTGTGACTAATGCATTAGTCTCTCCTACCTTCTGAGATATATAAATAAGAATGCATCCCTTTGTTATATGGGGTCTTTCTCAATAATGCTGCTACATAAGCATTGCAGTAATTCTTGATTATTTGATTTGGGTTCTATATTTGATCCCACAGCAGTTGGTTTAATTAAACGGATGTGGCTAGCTTTTGTGTTGAAATGGATAGATACAACGGCCAATATCCAACAAGCTTCCAATATCTAAGAGGCTGCCATAAAAAATAGGAGGAGGGTTAATCTGAAGGCAGGACAAGAAGCAGTGGATGGAAACTAATTAAGCAGAGAAGCAATCTAGAACTAAGGAGAAATAACAGTGAGAACAATTAATCAGTGGGAAAAGTGGGGGGAGGGGAACCAAGAAAGTCCAGTTGCCTCCTGAAAAAGCACCTTTGGGACAACCATGACCTGGAGGACTGAGAATCTCTACAGACCAAAAGGAAGAAATAAGGCGATAAACCAGGGAGGAAAATATAGGTTCCACCACAAAACCGCGGTAGACAAAAGCGCGCTTGACGTCATCACAGCGCGACGAAAACATCACGCTGTGAGCAGTAAATTTAAAAATAAAGCGAAAACCTTACCCTAACCCACCCAAACCTAA